GCCTCAGCCTCCAACTCGGCCCGCTCCCTCGCCAACCGCTCCACCTCCCGCTGCAGCTCGGCCAAGTGCTCCCGGTTGTCCGCCGCCTCCTGCTGGTAGTCTGCGATGCTGCCATTGAGCTGGGACAGCTGGTTCGTCAGACGCTCCTCCAGGTTGTCCTTCTCGGCTTCCAGGCTCCTGAGCAGCTCTTTGAACTGCGCCTCCCTCTTGGCACCCTCCTCCACCAGGCTCCTTTCTCTCTCTTTGCCCTCTTGGAGGCACTTCTCCAGAGAGGCCACAAGGCTCTCCTTCTCTTTACTCTCCTGGAGATCTCGCTCAAGAGAGGCCAGCTCCGCTTTGAGTCTAGCCTCCTGTTGCTGCCGCAGTTCCCTCTCTGCCTTGACAGCTGCTTCCATCTCCCTCATTTTCTCCTCTAATAAAACTTTAACACTTTCAGTCATTTCGGTAACCCATACAGGCTTCTCCTCCACTCTGCTTTTCCTCACAGCCGGTGGTACCGGCCTTCCGTTGCTCCTCGCCGCTACACTCCACACAATCTCTCTCTCCACAGCCATCTCCAAGGCCGCCTGCAAGGACTGTGGATGCTGCAGCTGTACCCCAACCCTCAAGTCTGCAGGGAGGAGAGCCCTGATGAATTGATCACGTGCCAGCTCACTCTGCACTCCGGGTGGCATGTGTGCATATGCCCGCCGCGTCAGGCTCTCCACGTCGTTAGCCAACGCACGCAGCGTCTCTCCAGACTTCCTACAGCGGTTACTCAATTCGTTCCGGAGCAGCTCTGGCGGGAAACACTGTCCAAACCGCCTCTTCAAAGCTCCCGCTAACGCTTCATAGCTGTGTCGGTCCTCAAGGCTAAGTAGTAGCAGACATGAAAAAGCCTCTTCTGTGAGGCACAAAGCTAGCTGTAGTGCTTTAGTCTCTACTGACCACCCCCCGGCATGAGCAAGCAGTTCAAATTGGGCATGGAAAGCCTCCCAGTCTGCCTTACCCGAGAATTTGGGTGTTTTCACTGACCCGGCGGCGGCTGCTGCGGGTTGATGGGCGCCGCCATTGTTGTTTACCTCCAGCTTGGAAATGGCGCGAACTGCCGCAGAAGACGGAGACATTCCCGCGTCTCTAGCCATCCTCACCGCCGACTCTCTCAGGCGCTCTCTCACCTCCCGTGCACTCATGAACTCCTCTCTCATGTCCTTCGACCACCCGCATGCTCCATCTTCCTCTTCATCACTACTGTGTTCCTGCTTCACTCCCATCTTGCTGAACTTATCCATCCCCGCTAGCTTATCGGCTAGCTCCGTGACGCAGTTACGACTCTCGTCCGGATAGACGTCCCTTGTTCGAAAAGTTCACTTCTGACACCAATGTAACGTTCCCAAGATGAGTCAGAGACAGGCTTGTAGTTATTAGGCTTTAATAACTAGTATTTGAAGACAGATGATAACAGGTCAAGTACACTTCGTGGGTTCTACCGCACACTCCACTCACACTGACTTCTACACATACCCATATATATATATAGAACTGTCTACGTCACAACTCCCCGCCCTCCCCTGTCCGCTCCCCCAACCACAGGCCCGCACCTCAGCCACCATCACGGTGCAGCTCTATGATTGGCAGAGAGACGGGGGATGCCTAAGTGACACCCTGAGTAGCCTATCAGGATCGCTACAATACTGACGGGCTGTCAGGAGAGGGAGAGCACTCCGTTTATTATTCCCGTGTTATTGTAAATTACTGTTCACTTTTGAATAATGTAGTTAATCTACTATAATTAGTTTGTTTAATATTGAATCATATCAATTTGTTTTAAAGCACAATAAATAACAAAGAAGACCTTTGACCGGCACTTTTCTCATTTTGTCCGGAAGATTTAACTCCATCTCACACACACACACACACACACAACACACACACACACACACACACACACACACAACACACACACACACAACACACACACACACACACACACACACACACACAACACACACACAACACACACACACACACACAACACACACACACACACACACACACACACACACACACACACACACACACACACACACACACACACACCACACCACACCCACACACACACACACACACACACCACACAGCGTTAAGAGGACCAGGAAGGCAGCAGCCGCAACTAAGTAGCTGTAACATTACTGGGTTATTTGGTGATAACTACCAAAGTAAAGTAACTTCAGACGCAGACGTCACGTAGCTTCTCAGACGAGAGGGGTGGCGACGAGAGTGTCACGTTACTTCTCTCGCGGCATAGTTCACGGCATGGTAGGCGACGATCGACACGATTGGTTGCTCAGTGAGTTCGTTCTTTGGCACAAATCACACCTCATACTTGGCAACTCTGCAGAATTATATGGGTGACGTCACGGACACTACGTCCATTTATATATCCAGGGTTAGGGCTGTGCGATTATGGCAAAAATCATAATCACGATTATTTGGGTCAATAATTGATATCACGATTATTTTGACGATTATTCATTGACCATTTATTGAACTTTAAAACAAATAATATTTTACCAATAAACAAGATCAACAAATATGTTGGAGCGCACTTCCAAAACCATACAAAACATATATTATTAATATGATAAATAAAAATAAATTAGACCAAAATAAATTAAATCAAATATGATGCAGTGCACTGTCACAACCTACTGAAAACTCCTTAACATATAGCCAACATTTTGGTAAAACATATTCAACATATTCCACTCAGTTAAACGTTGAAGGCTGGCCAACCGTCATGGTCCAGAAGTAACAGGAAATAAATGTTGAACTACAATTTAAGACCAAATAAAAATGTCTAGGCCACCATGGCAAATGCTGGTAGGACTGCTCATGTCATCTCTTAAAGATTGTTCGCAAGAAACACCAGCCTGTTTACATGGTCTAGTTTCAGAGATGAGCGCAGGCAGGTGACGATATTGCCACCTGTACTGAAGACCCTCAGCCACGCCCCGACACATGGGGTGACGCCGGCCAATCACAAAGCTTTGATGCGTTCAAGTGCATTATTCTGGCACAGGAAGATTATGTTACAGGACATTAACGATAAAACAGAATATTGTTGTTCTATTTTTAGACACATCTCGCGATCGGCTGGTTGGGCACCTCTAGGATAGACCATAGGTCTGTTGTGGTCGCAAAGTAGTCAGCCGAAGCCACATCTCTCTCAACTTCCCCACGGCATTTGTCATATAGCGCAGGCAGCGCAGACCTGCTGAAATAATACCGAGACGGCATCGCGTAACGCTTGTCGAACGTGTTGACAAGTTGCTTAAAGCCCTGGTTGCTAACAGTGCTAACTGGGCACATATCTTTAGCGATGTGAAATGTAATGGCAAAGTACTTGCAAATAGTGGAAATAGTTTTACCCTTCTTTTTAACGAGTTGCTGCTCTTGTTCTGACATCTTCGCTCGCGCTGAACACTCACAACACATGTCACTCCCACGTGGCCGAGTGGGCCTTTAGGGAGGGGCGAAAGCGCACCCAGCAAAATAATCGTATTTTGTCAATTATGCTGTTTTCATAATCGTCGCAAACCATAATCGTAATCGCGATTAAAATACGATTAATTGCACAGCCCTATCCAGGGTGTTTCTCAATCTCGAGTAAAGATGCTCCAGAGCCACTATTTCAAGCATACTCCGTCATCAAGTGCCGACGAAGTACTGTTCCAATGTCCAGCATACTTGGAATTCTACCGAGCCCGGCGTACTTCGTTTGGAGAAATTTGGCGCAATGCTTTGTGCACGGACCAATTTCCCCAAATCTGTGGCGGAAAATGTAAGGCGGGGCCTCTCATATGACGCACACTTGCTAGCCTGTTCCACTCTGTTTTCCGAATGCCAGGAAGTATTCTTGCCTCGCTTCTGAAGCAAGATGCTCGGAAGACATGTGCTACCAAGCAAGCGTACTCGAGATTGAGAAACACCCACAGTCTATGGTGTGAACGACAACTGATGGTCTCAAACACATTAAGAAGGCAAGTAATTCCACAGATTGACTCTTGACAAGGCACACGTGTTATTGAAAACCATTCCAGGAGACGACCTCATGATGCTGAGTGAGAAAAGCTGTCATCAAGGCTAAAGGGGACTATTCTGAAGAATCTAAAAATATAAATCATATTCTCGATTTTTTAACACCTTTTTGTTTACTAGATAATTTCTAGTTCTTTTATAGTTTTGATGTCTTCAGTATTAATCTACAAAGTAGAACACATTTTAAATAAACAAAAGCCATTGAATGAGAAGGTGTGTATACAAGACAGTACAAATACACACAGGTGAACACATGCACATGCCAGACATCTGCACTTCACTCATAACAGCAGAATAACCTTTCAGTAACACTGTGTGTTCCTGGACACACCACAAGTCTATATTTAAAAAATGACATGACCATAATAACACACATCTAAAATATGTATCCTGACTTCTAATTTGTATTACTTTCCATCACTGCATAACATTTTTTTTTTTTAAATGTACTGTTAAACTATCAAATACTTAAATGGAGTAATTGCTTTTTATATTACTTTAATTTTCTATATCCCCAAAATTAAAAAACAAATGTTATTATTTTCACCCAAATGCATTTATTTTAAAATACACACGTTTCTGTCTACTCTATACGATTTAGGAGTTCACGTTTTTTTTTAGCACGAGACAAAAGCTTCTCCGGTCTCAGCAGTTCACTGTATGTTTTCTGTCAGAGCGGCCGTAAACCATGGATGTATAATTAGAACCCGCCTTAAACAAACTCTCCCCTAGTCTCACGCCAAGGACCGACACTGGAGACATCGAAAGCCGTCCGGGAGAAACTGTGCACGCTCAAGGAAGTTTCCTATCCTTAAAACCGTGTAGGGTGCATCTACCTGCTCACTCAGAAGGAACAAAGTTCCCTTGAGCGCTCACTGGTAGACTAAACACTCTGTGGAATCAAAAGTATATTTTCTTACCGGGAGGGTGGGTAGAGACTGTTTCTCTGAGGGTTTGTAGTCCGGCAGACTCATCCTGACGTGTCCAGCTGCTAACTGCTCTGCAGGTGGGAGGCAGTGGGCGTGGCCTAACCCGGACATAATGCTTTATTGCAGAGAAGATGAGTCACTCGGTAATCAAATCTTCGACTACTGTTATAGCCTATTTCTGAGTCACGTTTGATTTTCGCTTATTAGACCTGGTGAACGCTACGCTATAAATGTGCCGACTGATAACATTCACTCAACTCTTTTTACGCTGTGGGTGTTGTTTTTAAGTTTGACCACTCAGTGGGAATTCAATGTTGTACGTCATGGTTTCACATGTATGGACGCTCTTAACCGTTATAAACATACAGATGCTGTACTTAAAATATATACACTAGAGAATGATTGCTTTTGCTGGTTGTATGCCTTATGAGGCAATACTTCATTTGATCTTTATAGACATTTGTGAAAATGGTCATTTTGATTCTCGAGTTAGGGACAGAACAGTAGTTTCTATAGCCTACCAAAATCTAAGCAGTAACTAACCTTGAAGCTAAGCTGACATTGTGGCAAATTTCAAGCCATTCCTGAGAAATCCAACCGGATAAGATACATAGAAATGTATGAATAATAATTGTCCTTGTGCGCTGCAAACGTCTAAAGGACAGAGGGGTTCCAGTGCTACAGTATGTCATGCCCCCTTCGACAATGTGTAACTTGTTATATTGGGTTGCATGATCTGATCATGTAGACATTTTAAATTGTCTTTGATCATGACGATGCTTCTCTACAGGGTCTACTGCAGAGATTGAATGCATTTTGAAAATAGTGAAAATGTTTTTCCAAAGTGGTTCAAAAGGAGCTTATCATAGCATTAAAAAAACATTTGAGCAACCAGACAACTTTAGATGCAATTCACCAATGCGTGTGTAGTAAAGTGACAAAACTATAAGTGTATTTTCCATATTTTATTGTTTTTGTACACAAAAAACAGATCTTGCTTCCATCTTGTAGAACACTCCAAAACCTGAAAAAGACAAGATGATGCATAATGAATACATGAATAATGGTGCATTCATTTCTTTATGACTGTACAATGAAAAGTCAAGCCCTCTGATGATTGGGCCCAAAAGTACAACTCAATGTGAACAGGTTCAGCTTTTCATGGTAAAAACTCATTTTGTTGAGCTTAATTTATAATTTAGTTTCTTTTTAAATATGGATCCACCTTGCTCTGGTCAGTAGGTTATTTTAAGGCCATTATTTAGAGGCACGAGATTCACTTTTCCTAAATCATTTCAACCAGGTTTGTGTGCGCCTTCTCAGACAAATGCCTCGATGTCTTCACATGAAAAAGACCCCCTGCTCCGAGGAACTGCAGCAGAACCACAGAACGTGACTCTGAAGCAGTAACCACCAGACCAGAAGAAGTCCTGCTCCGACTCGTCATCGTCTCATCACTGAAGGGTCAAGAACTGAGGATCATTCTTGTCTTTATTGCTAGTATACTGATTTTGAAAGGATATCTCCAAAATAAGTGGACACCCAATTATTCTCCCAACCTCTGAAGCCTGCAGTATGCTAACTGAACAAACCCTGCTTGGATAAAATGCTCAGGTATGTGCTCACCCTCTCATGCAGTGGGTACGGGTGTTCCCTGGGGCATGGCGGGCGCCTCTGGCTTGGCCCCCTTCTGCTCTGACATGGGTGTGGTGGGCAGGTGCTCATCCTTGGGCTCCACAATGCTGACGTGGTCGGGCAGGGGCTTCTTGGGGCCGATCTTACCGCTGGGGTCCCAGGGCAGCATGATCTTGACCTTGATGCCAAGCACACCTGAGGATGAGAAGCACATCAATAAAGATTAGCACTAACAAAAACTAAATCCAGAGGACAAACCAAACGCCTTAATGAGACTCCACTTCGAGCGATAGAACTATTAACGAAGCACTTTTATACTAATAAAGGACTGGCTTATCTAAAGCCAGTTGAGTAGCACTTGAAATGTTTGGCTCTATGAAACCTGATGTACTTATATGATTCTGTTTTCTTCAAGTTTGTGTCTTCCTGGTCGAATGTACTTATTGTAAGTCGCTTTGGATAAAAGCGTCAGCTAAATGCAATGTAATGAGATGACACTTTCTTTGCCATTTCTTGTAAATACACTTCAAGCATGACGCTTTGACCCTTCTCAGACAAATGCCTCGATGTCTTCACATGAAAAAGACCCCCTGCTCTGAGGAACTGCAGCAGAACCACAGAACGTGACTCTGAAGCAGTAACCACCAGACCAGAAGAAGTCCTGCTCCGACTCGTCATCGTCTCATCACTGAAGGGGGGGGGGTCAACCAAGGCTCTCAAGCTTTGTACATGCACACATTTTATTCTCAAAAATATGCATGGTCTAACAAACTATCAAAGGGTAATTTCCCTGTTGGTGATTAATAAAGTATATCTTCTCTAACAAAGTTCATTTTGATTGGTTTCAGTAACAGTCAGGTTTTAAAATGGCAAATGTGTCGAAATATTTCCAAAGCGATCTAGTGAGTAAGTGCTTCTTTAGCATTGTGTTGGTGTCTGCTGGAGTGTTCCTCACCCTGCCTCAGCAGGACGTGGCGGACTGCTGTGTCCACGTAGTAGTTGACGGGGTCTCCGCTGTGGATCATCAGACCATCCACAAACTTCATGGACTTTGCCCTCTGACCCCTCAGCTTGCCAGACACCACAACCTCGCAGCCCTTAGCACCGCTCTCCATGATGAACCTCAGAACACCATAGCACGCCCTGAAGGGGGAGAACAAAGAAAATGTCATTAAATGCTCTGTTTTCACTCTACCTCTCATTTGTGAGCACGCCATTTGAAATGACTCCGACTGTTTCTCTCTTCTTGTCTCGTCTCTCTCTGTGTGTGTTTGAATCTATCGTGCTGACTCACTGACTGCACCAATTTGATTGGCTGAGTAGCGTCACCTCCTTAAAACATTAAACAATAACTTTTTAAAACATTTTCAACATCGTGGATAAATCCTTATATTCTCCCGGCAACACATTGAGCGTCAACTTTGTCTCCTCATTACTCACCCCTACTTTAGAGGGAACAATGAGTCTGCGTCTTTGATGCGCACGATGCAATGGAGTCAGGAATAAACGCAGATCTTCCTCTGGCTGCAGCCTTGACCGGTACTTGCTTTTGATCAAAGTAAATGCGGAAAACCCGCGCTCACACAGGTAGGTGAAGGGAATGAGCACTTTGACAGCCTTTTTGACAAGGTGGGGGAACTCGGTCTCCACAGACAGCCAAAAGTGTACAAGTGACACGTTTTCTGCCAGACGCCGTCTCCTCTCACTTTAGGTAGCGTAACTTCACTAAAAATCGATCCATGTTGCTGCTTGCATACATTTAGCTGAAGTTAACTAGGTAGATTTCACTGTTTCTCGTTTTTTTTAATACGCTGCGTCCCCCCTGAAGCTCTCTGGCGACCCCCCCCGAGGAGGCGCACCTCACACTTTGAAAACCACTGATCTATACTAAACAATTGTAACCAGTTTTCTTTCCACTCGTTTTACCACTATGTTATGTTCATGTACGCTTTGACCCTTCTCAGACAAATGCCTCGATGTCTTCACACAAGAGGACCCCCTGCTCTGAGGAACTGCAGCAGAACCACAGAACGTGACTCTGAAGCAGTAACCACCAGAACAGATGAAGTCCTGCTCCGACTCGTCATCGTCTCATCACTGAAGGACACAAACTGACCCTGAACAAACAAGCTTCTGACGGATGAACCCGTCACTTCAATAGAAATGCATCATATTTGCAGCTTGTGATGATCATATCGGTTTCTACCCTTGTTCTTGTCAGTCGTGTTTTTTATTATTATGTTGATCGCATTAGTTTTCCTTATTCAATTTAAAGAAAAAGGTGTGTTCATGTCTGCATATGTTTTTGTAAAATTGTGGACAGCAACCATTATTTGTTTAATTTGTACCACTATCCCTAGCAGATGTTTTCAGAATAGAGAAGGTAGACATGTTGAACAGTTATGGAAGAGACGGCACTTGTTACCTGCGGACAGCCAGGCCTCCCAGCAGCTTGTAACGCAGAGACTCTGCCTGGGCGATGGCGCACAGCCCACGGGTGGCAACCTTCTCAGCATACAGCTAACAGGGGGAGAGGCACAGGTTAAAGGTCAGACATCCTGACAAAGGGCCCAAATATCTCTTGGACCCATAGGCGAGTGAGTACCAGTCATTGTCATTAAAAACCAGACATGAATTTGCTATGTTTTTCAGACTTGATAGCATCCTTCGCTCAAAAATACAAAATCTTAACACTACTGTGAGATTATACACTTTCTTAGCAATTTCTTGTAAATACAATTCCAGCTTTGACCCTTCTCAGACAAATGCCTCGATGTCTTCACATGAAAAAGACCCCCTGCTCTGAGGAACTGCAGCAGAACCACAGAACGTGACTCTGAAGCAGTAACCACCAGACCAGAAGAAGTCCTGCTCCGACTCGTCATCGTCTCATCACTGAAGGGGGGGGGTCAACCAAGGTTCTCAAGCCTTGTACATGCACACATTGTATTCTCCAAAAATGTGCATGAGTCTCAATATTTAATTGCATTAACTATCAATTGTTATAAACTATCAAAGTGTTTAGTGTGACATGTTGGATTGCTTATCAAAAATAGGCCAATGGAATCCAGTTCAGTGTGGGCTGACTGGGCTCCACTGTCCGTGTTAAAAGTAAGGGGTTTAGCAGAAAAGTAAACATTTATTTTTGCTAGCCACAAGCATTGTATGATTTGATGCAATAAATCAATGACTGCATTATGAATATATTTCCCTTTACTAAACCATATAATACTTTTGTCACCGCAAAAGCCTGTTACCTTAGTGTAATTATGTGCAATACTCACATTTTTAAATGTAATATTGTCATTACTGGCTGTATTTTGCACTACTAAATACTGTAACATTATTTGTAAAACAGCGCAACATATACTTTTTACCATTTACTAATGGCTGCTAGTTTTCTTTAATTAGTGCTGCTCATCTTTTTAACCTGAATGTGTACTTACTAGTATGTACTCTTATTTTGTCTTTATCCGCACTGTCCCTCTTTGCAGTTAACATTGTACATGACTCCAGTGTGGGACAAATAAAGGATTTCTGTTTGTCATTAAGCTTTCTGTGTTTAAATATTTGAGTGGGCACTTTACTTGTAACTGCATTTCCCTTACCTCCACGCTGCCCTCTGGGAAGCCGAACCTCTTCTGGACCACAGCGGTCAGCTCTCTGATACGACGACCCTTCTCACCCAGAACATTCTGGGTCCTGAAGACAAGTTAAACACTCATTATTACACTGTAGTCCTATGCATACTAGTTAGCAGTCAAAATAATCAAGTCTAACATTTGGTCTTATTAAAAGTTTGGTTTAGAATTGCTGAAAATCATTATCAGGCCATTGTCATGCTGTTTTCTGAGCACATGTTACAATGCATTCTCTTGTCCAAAAATGCACAGGAATATTTACTTAAACTAAAATGTATTTTAAAATCATACTACAGCGTAGTGTACAACTACTGCTTAGCTGTTGTGGTACTACACAACAGAAGCGAACACATACACAGGTATTGTGTTCCTGTCAAGTTTGTCAAGAATCCAACAATGGTAACATTTCCTGTAGTGATATTGACGGTTAAAGAGGTCAGACGCAAGAAATTACTAGCGATGGATGTACCTTTTTTGAATTTTAACAAGGTTGAAGTAAATCCAGTAAAAGCATGTTCTAAGCTTACATTTGGGAAGCCTCATCCATCTATTCAACACATTATGGTCGGTTTCTCCGCGTTCACTTTAAAACTTGGTTACATTTAGCAGGCAAAAGCACCCACACCCATGTGCTGCTATAACCCTTCTCAGACAAATGCCTCGATGTCTTCACACAAGAGGACCCCCTGCTCTGAGGAACTGCAGCAGAACCACAGAACGTGACTCTGAAGCAGTAACCACCAGAACAGATGAAGTCCTGCTCCGACTCGTCATCTTCTCATCACTGAAGGACACAAACTGACCCTGAACAAACACGTCTACCTGAGAGAAACCCAAAGCTCTGTACAACAGATGGCAGTTTCTATTGTTAACCATATAGGTCAATAGTAAAAAATGATTTTAAAAACCTGCACTCACCTTGTGGCCAGGATGATGATCTCAGTCCTGGTTGGGGTCACACGCACCTCCACACCGGAGTAGCCATCCTCAGCAAGCTCACGAGTCAGGAACTCGTTCAGCTCTGCCTTGAAGATACCGTCTGCCACGAACTGAGGAGAGGAAAGGGTCAGCTTACACATGATAAAGAATGATTACACAGAGGTAAAAACATTCGTCTTAATAATGGCTCGAGCCGAGGAGCGAATGGGAAGAAATCTGAGCCCCAAACACTGCACATGCAGCGATTACGTGTGAGTTAGTTACAGGCAAGGGAAATAAACTACACATTTTACAGAGAAGTCACTGACGCAATGATAACATTTATTGCACAGATATGTAGATATCAAATAAACCCCCAGCATTTATTATTATATTCCAACTCTAGTCAGCTGCGAATACCCTTTTATTTTTTACATTAACTTATCAAAATATTGAAACCACATGTCAGATCCGTAGAGGTGCAACTCCGTGACACTGGACTACGTTTCTACGGTCAGTCATTAGTATCATAATGTGCATTGTGCTGTTGATATCAATCAAACTTTGTTACTTTATAAATATGCAATGATCACAATTTAAAAAACGACGATCTATTTAGAGTTTCTAAACCTCTTTCTATCTCATTTGACTATGAAGCTAACTCATCAAGCTAACCCCATTCAAAGACCTCAAACACATGACCGTTTCGAGTAAGCAGATATATAAGGTTGTAGAGTGTTGAAATTGCTCTGAAAATATCCCCGTTGTGTTTTAATGAGAAGAGGAATCGTATCTAGAGGTACCGGTTTGTGACTCGTCGCAGGCCGCGGCGGACGAAGCCATGCTAGCTAGCCAAATGAGGAGGACGCAGCGCCAGCAGTATCTGGATCAATCCTCTCCTTACCGGGGGTGGACCGGTACCACACACACCAGTATGTAGCGTGGAGAACTGTATCCACACCGACATTACACTATTTTTATGTAAACTGTCTGACTGAGGGTGTAAAACAGGATAAAATTGTGCTAACCTTCCTCTTCTTGGAGATTTGCACCGCCATCTTCGGAAAGGCCGTTGACAGGAAAGGACCTTAACAATAAGCGGAAATGAATTTATACCTAAACGACTGGTTTCCGGTGACGCCATGCCCAGTGTGCTGCTAGGACTTGTAGTTTTTTTTTTTATATGAAGCAACCCTCTTCATTTCTTTGCTGGTAGGTAGCTAGATACCCCCAAACTAAATATAAAATTCTCTTTGCAACGTGTTCACTTTCGGTAACCTTTATTTGCAAACTTTGCAATGGACAGAGTATGAGCAAAAAAAACACAACCGAAAACTTCCTGTCGCCTTTGGTTGTTTTATTTTGAATTAATTCGCTGGAAGTCTGGGTAGGGTATTTTCCTGTCTTGACAGAAGCTTTAGAGACCTATGCTTTTTTAGACCCATGTCCTCCAGTGGTCACAGTGAAGAACTGCAACACTACATTAGTTCAAGTTTATTTTCTTTTTCTGTGTATTAAAAATGTATAATAATGTATACGAAGTGCAAGTCAAAGAGATTAATAATGGAGGATGATATAGCAGGATTAAGAGGGACGTGTTTATCATTTGAGCTACCACTTCCTCCGATATGGCTCTGTCGTCGGTCTTCATCACATATGACTAGGGATGGGTATCGTTTGAAATTTATCGATTCCGATTTCGATTCCGGTTCTGCTTATCGATTCCGGTTCTTATCGATTCCCCGTTTCGATTCCAAAATTGTAAAATAAAGAGGTCAAACGTTTAGATAACAAAAATATATTTATTCTTAAAAGCTTTAACTGAAATTGTTACTAAAAAATATACATGCAATACAAATGTATTGCACAATAGCTGTGCTTTATTTTAACTGAGCTATGCCTGTGGCAAGCTATTAACAGGCATTACACTTTGCCTTTTATTTTATTTTTTAGTGTAGTGGAGCCTCACTTCAGAGTGTTTACCGCGACCTATCTTTGGTGTTATTGAAGTGACTGAGCTCGTGAAATGTCTACGGAGGGCGGGGGGCATCGCTGCGGAGCAACTGTGGACCTCTGTCGCCTGTCAGCGCAATTTATATTGATGCCGTTTAAAAAATGAAGGGCGGTGCCGGCCGTCAGCGTACCGAGCCGGCCGTCAACGGCCCGCTGACGACCGGCCGTTCTGTGATTCTCCAGGTCCGCCCTGTATTCCACCGGGTCACCGCAGCACCGCGGTGCAGACGGACCCGCTGGAATACAGGGTCTACCGCGTTTAGGAACCGTTAAGCAGAACCGAAATTGTGTATTTTGTATGGGTACCCGGTACCCGGCATTTTCTTATCGGTTCTCATCTGGAACCGAGTTTCGGTTCCCAACCCTACATATGACCAGTTGCTGTTGTGTCATCTCCACATTTGCTGATGCTGATATTGTAATATCTGGTAGCACACTGGACGATGGTTGGCCGACACAGTGGCCTCAGGCCGCTGGTCCTCAGAACTAATGTAGAGGAGGGGGTTCTAAATGGGTTAAAGTGTTGATGGGGAGATCCATACTGTGACCGGCTATACCGACGGTATACTGCCCTCTAGTGAGGGGAGTGAGGAATATGTCAAGTGACATGATAACTTCCAGCCAATGCTTTCAAAGTAAAACTAGGTGATAAAATAGATAAGCAACATAAATTCATTTACAAAAATAATCATGATATAACTCACATACAAGACGTTATATTTTATTTCTGGGACATTCACAGCAAGCGAGTGCATTGGGACGAATCAAGAATATAATAGAAGCCTTTATTCTCTATAAAATACAATGAAATTACGAATGCCTGTATAACGTGCTTTAAAAAAAACACACACACACCCGCACGCACACGCACGCACACACACACACACACACACACACACACACACACACACACACACACACACACACACCACACACACACAAACACACACAATACAAACGGTTTGCAAACAATTCACCCTTTGATACACAAGCTATGCATACCCCTTCTAAGGGACAACATGGGTCAAAAATGACCCGTATTGACTTACAATGTTATTTCATGCATGGCTGAGTGTTTCTATATTTTTGGAAATCCATTTATTTAAGCATTTAATATTCCAAGTATTCATTAAATATCTTGTTTTTGATCACCACACATCATTATTTTCAATCAATCTTTCAAAATGTAGGAACTAAAACAGTTTTTGTAGTAATAAATCAAAAATGACCCATGTGTGCAAGTGTGATAACAATGATAACAAAAACATACTATAATAATAATTTTGTTAAAAAAATTATTTTATCAGTGATTTGGACCAAACAATACATGTGGCTGGGTGTGTGTGTTTGGTCTTTTTAGCCCACATCTTTCCATTGCCCCTGTAATGTGCTTTTTGAGGTGGGGCGTGCCCTCCATGCGCCTCTTCATTAACTATATTGACAAAAGTATTGGGCCACCTACACGCAGACCTGGCGGCAGACATACGTCTCTGGGCGGGCATTTGATTTACCAGGGCGGGCCCACCCCGACACTTACATTTCCCGGGAAATCTCGAGATTTGTCAAGGGGGGGGGGTTGCCATAAGGCTGTTGACGGTCTTATTATAGGCTACATCCATTGGTTGGTTTTGTGGCACATTTGTAACGCTGTGCCAACTTGGGCAAGCACGCAGGCAAACTTGAGCGCACACAGGGTGGAGAGGTGGAGTAAGGTTGAGCGATGGAGAGAAAGGGAGAGAGAGAGAGATTGAGCGAGGCAGAGAGCATGTGCAGCGGTCTGCTTGCGCACAGAGCAGGAGTTTGTGAGAGAGCCGGCTTGAGAGTCAATTTCTCTTCAAAATATAATTGATTGCAGCCTCCCTTGTCCCTGGCTGGCTTGCTAGCTCGTTGGTAACGTAACTGATTTCTTCTAATGTGCCTGCATCTGGCGCTGAGTTGCCATATTCCTTTCATGAACCACTTCCTGATATCCATTGTTGCAGATAAATATAAATGATAATAGCCAAACTAACCTAGCAAGAGTAAACTGACAGGCTGCTGTGCCGCATCTCACTCAAAAACCCACACGACTCAACCCAGCGAAAAACCAGTCTCACGCGCAGCCTTTCATTCAGAATTTCATTCAGAATTTCATAGCAAAATTTAAAAAATGATATTAAACTAATCTTTCAACATAGTTTAAAACAAAAATAAATATTAGGACAAAGCCCTACAAATAACAACAATAAACATAATCAGTGGCGGCTCCTGAGTGTTTTTGTTGGGTAATCTATGGTAGGGCTAACCCATACAGTGGTGGGGCTCAAGTCAGTATTTGCAATGTAATTACATACACGCTCCCCTTGACAGTGAAACGCCACGCGTGAGGTTTAGATTATTTCCCTGTCTCAATCCAAATTGAACTGTATGAAATAAAAAGGCACATTTGTCTTGTAGTAAATAAAAAGGCCGACCTGGAGCCATCCATCTATCCATCCATCTTCTCCCGCTTATCCGTGGTCGGGTCGCGGGGGTAGCAGTTCCAGCAGAGAGCCCCAAACTTTATTTTCCCTGGCGACATCAACCAGCTCTGATTGGGGGATCCCAAGGCGCTCCCAGGCCAGCGAAGAGATATAATCCCTCCACCTGGTCCTATGTCTACCCCTTGATCTCTTCCCAGTTGGACGTGCCTGGAACACCTCCCTAGGGAGGCGCCCAGGTGGCATCCTAACTAGGTGCCCGAACCACCTCAACTGGCTCCTTTCGACGCGAAGGAGGAGCGGCTCAACTCCGAGTCCCTCCCTGATGACCGAACTTCTCACCTTATCCCTAAGGGAGACACCAGCCACCCTGCGGAGAAAACCCATCTCGGCCGCTTGTATCCGCGATCTCGTTCTTTCGGTCATGACCCATCCTTCATGACCATAGGTGAGGGTAGGAATGAAAATGGCCCGGAAGACCGAGAGCTTTGCCTTCTGGCTCAGCTCCCTTTTCGTCACAACGGTGCGGTAAAGCGACTGCAGTACCGCTCCCGCTGCTCCGATTCTCCGGCCCATCTCACGCTCCATTGTTCCCTCACTCGAGAACAAGACCCCGAGATACTTGAACTCCTTCACTTGGGGTAAGGACTCATTCCCTACTTGGAGTGGACAGTCCATCGGTTTCCTGCTGAAAACCATGGTCTCAGATTTGGAGGTGCTGATCCTCATCCCAGCCGCTTCACACTCGGTTGCGAACCGATCCAGTGAGTGCTGAAGGTCGCAGACCGATGAAGCCATTAGAACCACATCATCTGCAAAAAGCAGTGGTGCAATCCTTAGTCCACCGAACTGCAGACCCCCTCCCCCATGACTACGCCTCGAAATCCGATCCATGTATATTACAAACAGGATTGGTGACAAAGCGCAGCCCTGGCGGAGGCCAACCCTCACCGGAAATGGGTCCGACTTACTGCCGAGGACCCGGACACAGCTCTCGCTTTGGGAGTACAGAGATTGGATGGCCCTGAGTAGAGACCCCCTCACCCCATACTCCCGCAGCACCTCCCACAGTAACTCCCTGGGAACTCGGTCATACACCTTCTCCAAGTCTACAAAACACATGTAGACCGGATAAGCGTACTCCCAGGCCCCCTCCAGGATTCTTGCGAGAGTAAAAAGCTGATCCGTCGTTCCACGACCAGGACGGAATCCGCATTGTTCCTCCTCAATCTGAGGTTCGACAATCGGCCTGACCCTCCTTTCGAGTACCTGGAGCCAATCTTGCAATTTCTCCACAGGTGAAAGAGTTGACATGCTGAAAACCCGACCCCTGCAGGGGGATCTGGGGGGATTCTCCCCCAGGAGATTTTTTGAAATACTAACATAAAATACACATTCTGGTACTCTCTTGAGAAGAAAAATAAATAAATATATACATGACATATTTAAAAAATGAATGCCATTTTAGTTTTGTGTTACTTTGTTCTGAAAGCTGAACCTGCTGCTCCTCACAGAGAGAAGAGGGAAGAGGCTGTGTGAATTACTTTACATTGTGGATAAGGGTGGATAGCCCCCATTGTTCTGTGTGTCAAAATGAAAGACAGCCCACACACCTATCAATCATCAAACCGTGGGGTCTTATTTAATTATGTGTTGATTTCAGTGGCGGCCGACCCATAGGG